GCCGCCGCGAACCCACCGCCTGCGCACGGCAGGCTTCGGGGAAGGTCCCCAAGCGTCCAAGAGCCCACCGCGCTACCAAAGAAACGAGCACCCCGTCAACGCCCGCCGCAATCCGGCGGAGAGGCGCGGCAACGAGGCCGCGCCATCGGGTGCGGCAACCGCCCCCCAACTCCGGAAACCAGCGGCCGCCCGCGGGCCGCAACACAGATTGTCATCGAGTCTTCTACCTCTCCTGCGCCTGGCAACTCCTCGAGGAAGGCACGGTTGACGAAGTTCATAATCACCTCAGTGTCAATCAAAGCGAGCCCTGGTCTTCCTTGTATCTTGACTTTAGAACACGGCAGCATTGTTGTAACCTTTGCTTGGTTGCTGATGTTACTACAGTAGTTGTTGTCTAGTGTCTCGGCTTCAGTGAATTCCAAGTTTGTCACGGTGTAACGCCCCTCGCCGCCATGACGTTTGTCATCTCTCGGTGCCACAGTGTGTTCGCCTGGTCGCCATTTCGTGGCGCAATTCTTTGCCACGTGCCCATAACCCCTGCAGCGATGGCACTGAATCTCTTGGGGTCATCCCTTCTGTATGTTATCCACCTCCATTGGCGTGGGTCCAGCTCGAGGCACGGGATAAGCTATGGGCCGTTGTACTGGTGCGCCAACTTGGCTTCTTGTAGTCCCGTTAATTCTAAAGAGGATGCCATCTGCCCGCAGTGCATGACTCATTGCTTGTTGAAGGTTCTGTGGGTTGGCTCTTTCGACGTCCAGTCGTACAGCCACTTTTAACCCGCGTTTGAATCTGTCGAGACACTTGTCATCACTGATTCCCTTGATGCGTGTCTTGATATCCATAAACTTCCCAGTGTAGTCTTCTACACTAGTCTTCTGGACGAGCCTTGCCAACTCGTCACATGCCTTCTGCCGGTCGTTGGTCACCCCGAACTGTTCCTCAGCTGCTTGAACAAAGTCTTGCCACGTTTGGACTGCTCCCACTCCATGTGCTTCCACTAGGTTTTGCCACCACAGGGCAGCTGCTCCTCGGAACTGACTGACTACAAACTCCACGTAGTACGCCTCGTCTTGGACGTGCATCAAGCGCAGATATTGTTTGACTTAAAATGCCCATTGCGTGAAGGTTCCCTGACGCGTGCCTTCGTATGTTGGTGGTTTGGTTGGCTTGACGGTCAGCAGGGCCGGCCGCTCTGGCTGCGGTCGTGTCCTGGCATCGGCCAGCGATGCGGCAGCTGCTACTGCCTCGTCCAGCTGGTTCTGGATTCGTTGGTTTATCTCGTTTTGTTGCACCTCCACATGTCGTGCCAGCTGGTTCCACCTATCGCCCAGCACTTGCTCGATGGCCGCTTGTAGTTGGTCAGGCGAGGCTTGTGACGGGCTTGGAGACCGGCTGTGCACACTCTCCGGTTGGCTCATGTTGTTTGGTTTTGTCTTGAGGCTCCCCTTCTTGGTATTTCCTCATGGGTCAGTCGTCGACTATCGTTTCTGTGTCGTTTCGCGCCTTGGTTCATCACCCGATGCTCAAATAATGGGCAACTCAGCGCCCTATACTCTTATTCTTGAACTTCTCTTCCCTCGCTTTTCTTAATTCGCCCTCGGGGCAGGCCTTGCGGCTGACGCCTTCGTGACGTCCAGCCCTCGTGCCCTCGGGGCGGCCTCTTCGCTGTCGCACTCCGGCGCACAACGGTACTCGTCCACTCTCTCCTTCCGGGCCTCGTGCACAGCTGACGACTTCTTGACGTCCGGCTGTGCTGCCCTTCAAGGGAATCCAAGTTCTCTTTGTGCCTTGGTGCCCCGCCGCCTCAGGTCGTGGATCAGTCAGCACGAAGCGCCGCCTCAACTTGGGCACTCCGCTGGCTCCAAAACTAGTTGTAAGGGGCAAAACTACCGGAGGCAGATTGCTCGGCGATTTTGGTCGGGCAGCAGCTCAGGTTTGAGCGCGGAGACAAAGGCACAGAACCGCAGCAAACTTGGATTACAATGTTCAACTTGGACGGCTTTAAATAGCCGTCCAAGGGCGGGGTTTAGGCAGGCCAACCGGCATATGCCAGATTGGCAACTTTATGATGTTCAGATGTTCGAATTCAAACCCCTCCCGTGAACCCCGTTTTGTCCCGCGAGTCACCGTGACTAATCCCAACGTCATTATCACCCAATCTCAGTGGCGCACCCCGTGGGTCTGTCCCACGTGCCTTGACCCTGAACGGCACCCGGCTTGGTGTGCATCTCACACCCCGTTCCGTCTATATTAAATATCTATTGTACAACCCATGCCCGTTTGGCGCGGCTCAGAAACTATGGTACAATGACTACCCATGCTATTGTACAATGGTGTCCCGTATTGTACAAGCTTTCAAACGGCTGCCCTCACAGCATGTGTTTAGACACCATGGTATGTGTGAGATACTAATATCAGACCGCGGAACACAGTTTACATCAAAGTTCTTCAAGGCCCTTATGGAGCAATTGGAGATTAACCAGGCACTGAGTACAGCGTACCATCCGCAAACTGATGGTCAAACAGAGCGGATGAACAGGATTCTAGAAGATACGTTACGCCACTATGTTGGCCCACAGCAGGACCAGTGGGATTTACATCTCCCATTGGTAGAGTTTGCTATAAACAACTCAAAGCAGGGGAGCACAAAGTATACGCCCTTTTATCTAAACTACGGGCGACATCCAGTGACTCCAACAACCTTAGGCCTGCAGAATAGTCGAGAACATCGTGAGATACAATGCAGACTCAGGGATGAGCAGCAAACGGACCTTCAGGACAAATTGCCAGCGGTCAAGCAATTTGCAAATGAGATTGACATTGTGCTCAATGATGCAAAGCAACACCTCCAGGCAGCGCAAAATAGACAAAAGCAGTATGCAAATGCGCATAGGTCCGATGTTGCATATCATGTTGGAGACATGGTGTTGCTCTCCAGCAAAAATATAAAACTCAGGCATCCAGGATCTAGGAAGCTACTTCCCTTGTGGTTGGGACCCTTCCAGATCATTGAGCAGATCAACCCAGTGGCTTACAAGTTGGAGCTCCCAGATTCTATGCGAGCTCTCTATCCAGTATTTCACGTATCCATATTGAGTCAATACAAATCAGGTCCAGGTCTCACTCGTCCCCCTCCTCCAGTGGAGTTGGATGGTGAGCTGGAATACGAGGTGGAACGGATTCTAGACAAACGAATTAGTCCGTTCCATTCCTGGCATAAGAAGATGTTACAATACCTCATTAAATGGAAAGGCTTTGGCCATGAACACAACACATGGGAGCCTTTACAGAACCTGACGCATTGCAATGAGCTCTTACAGGCCTACGAACTGCAGCAGCAGTCGTCTGGATCCGGCCCTACGGTTGGTCGCCGACGCAGAGGTGGTCAGAAACGGACTCGAGTGATGCCTTGCGTATTCTCAGGCTGACACATAGTGTGCATTTGCGTTCAGGATGCAGACGTAGCTGCAGGGTGGACCCCTCGCACTACGGGCCGTTCGGGTTCAGGTGGTGGTCGCGGCCGTGGCCGTGGCGCCCCTCGTCCGGCACCTTGATACAGGCCTCGTTTGGGGATTTGGGTTGATACACAGACAAACTGTGACCGCCAGTTCTGTGGCCCTATGATTGGGATCCATCAGGTGTCAGCATCAGGCACCAGACTCTTGTGGGTGACCGACTATTTCTTTCCAGTGGACCCATGGTTGGGTTGTATTGTACATGTCATGCCTTTGTTTCGTGTGATATGTTTTCTGTTTGTTTTGTGTATTCTTGACTCCGGGACGGAGTCTTTCCCGGCGGGGGACGCCTGTAATGCGCACCGCCTTTACAATATATATTATTATCACTTCACCAGTACTTTACCAGGAGAGTGCCTGGGTTGGCAATGGCATCTCTAAACTATCCCATCCTTGGGAATATCAGGCAGGCCATAGTACTGGAGTACTTGGCACTGTAACAGAACTATCCAGCAGTGGATGAGTCATCAGGGATCAGAGTGACCCGCCGGTCGCCAGCCGGTGTACTGCGAGAGATGGGTGCAGTACTTAATGGGTCTTGGAGTCTGGTTTGGGGTTCCTTTTCCCTCTTGGCGCCACTGCGAGCTACAGTTGTGCAAGTATTGGAGGTCGGTCTTAAGCTGGCGTGCGTGCCGGCACCCGTTAGGTGCTTTTATGAAAGGATACTGGATTGTCGACACGGTGTGGGTGGTTGGGTCAGTCTGCCGATCGCAAGATTGGCATGCATGAGTAACTACTGATCTATCTTAGTTACTGACTCATGCTGATGTGTAGACCCATGTGGTATATACAGCATTGTGTCACAGTCTGTATGGACGTGGATAATGTAAAGCAGAACACTTGGAATAAAATCTGGCGTGGTTTGTTCTATATGTCTAACTGAAGTTCAGTTTGTACAATAGCGGTAACACCTATTCAGAAGGTGCTGTTGTATGCAAACTAAGGGTAGCAGGTCCGCTTGTGGAACTGCACTTACCATCTCCTGTACGACTGCGCGTACGGTGGGAAGTGTATTGCTATCTGTTTCTAGATCACGAATACAACTTACTGCTCAGGAGGACTGCGAAACTGTTGGCGTTGGCTTGGTGGTCGAGCGCGCGGAGTACTACCATAGCACGCACTTTAATGACCGTCATCTACTGTCGTTTGTGACAGTTTTCGAGGCCTACCATTCTGTGCGTATCTTCGAACATCATTCTCATTTTCTCCCCATTTTCGAGAATGGTGCAACACCACTGATGATGATGAGGTTGCTCAAACAGGTCATCTCGGTAGGGGTACCCAGAAAATCGCCACACCATCCAATGCCCGCACACTTGATCGAACGGGCAACCTGTACTGCCACCACGCGCCTGGACGGGCCAACCAACCAGCCGCTCGCGGACAAGGGCGCCTGTTCCAACGCGTCGTCCGCCAAAATCTATTGCTGCCTCCGCGCTTTTTTTTGCGGGCGCAGGGGCTGGACCGGCCGGGTCGCCGATTATGTCGCTGTCCCACCCGCAGGGCCCGCCCCCCCTCGGCGCCGGGTTCGGTCCCGGGCCCGCTCGGACCCTGTCCGCCGGCCACGCAGCCGACGAGCTCTGCCTCGTGGGATCGCCCGTGGGCGGCTGCCGCGAAGGCGGCATGGCAGCCCTGGACATGCGCCCCTCGGGCGCCGCCCAGCCCGGCTGCGACTCCGTCAAGATCGCCATCAAGTTCCTGCTGAGCAACGTGGCCGCGGGCGTGGTCATCGGCAAGGCGGGGTCCATCATCACCGAGTTGCAGGAGCACAGCGGGTCGCGCATCCAGCTGTCGCGCAACAACGTCTTTTACCCGGGCACGGTGGAGCGCGTGCTGCTGCTGACGGGCAGCGTGAAGAACGTCCTCGTGGCGCTGTACCTCATCCTGGTCAAGCTCACGGGGCGGGCGTCGGGCAATTCCGCCGGGTCTCCTGTCAAGGCTGGGAGCCCGACGGGCGGGGCGGAAAACGGAGACGGCAGCCCGGGGGGGGAGCCGCAGCAGCCACGCGGCGAATCGGAATCTTCGGGCGGCTCGCCGGCCAGCGGGAAGGATGGGGACGGCCAGGACAGCCCGACGCAGCTGAAAATCGTGATGCCCGCCGCGGTGTGCGGCGCCATAATCGGCCGCGGGGGCGAGACGATCCGCTCATTCGCCGAGGACTCGGGCGCCAGCATCTCGGTGTCGCCCCAGGAGCGCGGCGGTGGCCGGCTGGGCGACCCGCGCCCCCCGGGCCCCGCGCCTGACCGCATCGTCACCGTAACCGGCGGCGTCAGCCAGATCCTGCGCGCCGTGGCGCTCATCGTCACCACCGTCGCGGAGGACCCTAACTACGTGAATAACGTCGGCCTGTCGGTGAACTACGCGCCGCTGAGAGCGGGGGCGCCGCCCCCGCCGGGCGCATTCCCGCCGCCGCGCGACGCCGGGATGCTCAACGGTGGGGCCGGGTTCCCATTCCCAATCAGAACCGGCTTCGCGCCGGGGATGCCCCCCCAGGAGCCGCCCGGGGCGTTCCAAGGGCCGATCGGGAGCCCCGGCCTGTCTGAGGTCAAGCTGGCTGTGCCTGACGAGCACGTGGGCGCGATCATCGGCAAGGGCGGGGAGATATTGGCGCAGCTGCAGGCGCTGGTGGGCGTCAAGGTGACGATATCCGGCCGGGGGGAGTTCACGCCAGGGACGCGCGACCGCAACGTGTGCATCTCCGGCCCACGGGACGCCGTGCAGATCGCGCAGCTGCTGGTGACGCAGAAGTTGAACGAGAGGCTGCACCAGCTGCAGCGGTGAAACCGCGGGGGCGATGCCGGCCCCGGAAGGAAACTTTCAGAAACGATTGCCCAGGGACCGCCGTTGGGAGTGGAGTGGAGTGGAGTGGTGCCCGTGTAGAGAGATGGAGGTGGGGACCACCCTCCGCCGGGAGCTGGTGGCGCGGCGGGGCGCGGTTCTGTCAAGGAATGTTGCGTGGGGGGTTTGCAAGGTTGGTTGTGGAGCCAGGATGAGCAGGAGTCTTAGGTACCGCCAAGAACGTTGCGAGAATGCGGCGAAGGAAAGCAAGAAAGCGTGGGGAGGGCTGGAGGGTGTTGCTCTGAAGGACAGTGCTTCACGGTTGCTTGAGGAGAGGCACCTTGGGTGTGCACTGGCACCGCTTAGGGGGCCGCGAATTTTTGTTCTTGCCTGCAGTTTGCTAGCCAGATACCTGGGTGAAAGATGCGAGGGCCCTGGTGGGGGATGCCTCTGGTGCCTGCATTGAACACTTGTCGATGTTGCCGTGCATGTCTGGGCTGTCCTTTTGGTGTTGAAACTGGCGTCTTCGTTGCCAAGGATGGTTGGTTCTTTCGCAGCCAGCAAATGGCTGATCGATTCTTCCCTGCGTATTGTGCGTTCCGCCAGTTGGCCTGGTGCGCCACAAGCTACAGTCCCTCCATGTTCGGACAATAATCAGCAAGTGTGCACTCCGGGCTGGGAGATTGGCATGTTGCTGAGGCTGGGGCTTGGGCATGCATGACCTGGTGGTTGTGGGGACGTATCAAGATTGGTGGGTGGGGGGGGGGGGGGGGGTAGGAGAGTGATAGGTATAGAATAGGGCAACATCGGCATGGCATCTGGGTGTTTCAGCCACCACGCCTCCCCCAACCCCCTTTTTGTTAGGTTGGGATTTGTTTTGCTGTGTATTGGGCCAGAAAACGCCCTTGCATGTGTGTGTTTGCGTGTGTGTGTGTGTTTGTGTGTGTGTGTGTGTGTGCGTGGGTGTGGGTGTGTGCATGTGTGTGTATGTGCTCTGCTGCTGTTGGTATGTTGCCAGCTGGTTGCTCTGCCCCCTTCATCTGCCCCTTGGTTCGTTCAAATCTTGGACTCGCCGAAACCCCTGGTGAACAGTGCAGACTCGGTCATAATGTGCGCTGGGACATGCGCCTTCGCCAGCGCCAGCAAGTGTGTCGCTTTTTGGTTTAGTCCGATGCCACTGGGCCAGTTTGAAGGTTGGCAATGGGAAACGCTGTGCAGCCAGGCCTGTTGCCTCAGTGAAGCGGCCATGCAATAAGGTTGACTCGGACGGTTGTGAGAGTGCTGCTTCATAAATTCCAGGCTGTCCATCCTGAGGGTTGGTTGATGGTGGGTGGCCCCCCCCCCCCTGGAGACTCTGGATCTCTTTGGCCAGTTGGTGTGCAGGACGAAGTGTCGGTGGCATTGTACATAGGTATCTCTGTTGTGTGCGGACTGCACGGATCCAATTTCTTCACACAGCTGCCTGAGGCTGAACGAATGGGGGGCCAGTTGCTGGGCGGTTATGCACTCAAGACGTCGTCCTTCTGGCACTCGATGGGTGGTCAGGCGCGCACACATGGAACCTGCAGCATCGTCTGCCCTTCTGGTATTGGTGGTCGTGGCCAATACCTCTGGAGTGTCAGCATGAATACCCCTTGAATTGGTAGCTAGGTCACCATGGAGGTTGAGGTGTGATCAGGTTTGCATGCCAGGGTAGCCATTGGGTTGCTGATGTGTGTCTGATATGTGCAACCTCATATGCGAATGTGACAGGACATGCGGACTTAGGGGCAATCAGAGACAAGGACCACAGCCCATGCATGGGACGTGTAGAGTAACTGACTGTACGTGCAGTTCGTTTTGATTTCTGTCTGTATCTACTCTGTGGTCTACTGGCAGCGCTGCAGCCTTCATCTTAACAGCAAGAGGAATTTTTGCCTCGCTGTTGATCGCAACTAGTGACCTGCATTTTCAGCAGTACCTTCATTTGCAGAGTCGTTGAACTGCTGCAGCACTGCGCCTTCGTGTGGTTGGTGCATTGACGCGTCCCGGAACGTCAGAGAGCAGACATGGATTTGAGAAATGCGTTTCCACACCACCGCCCTTGCCGACGTGGAAATCTGGTGTGGAAACGCTCGTTCTGAGAAGTGCACAACAGCACCTAGGTGTTAGATGCTCGCCGACATGAGCGTCACGGCAATTCTAAATGGTGTATCACTATCCGGTGTGAGCTTCAGTGGAGAGCATGGTACCACGAATTCAGCTGTGAAAATTGGCAGCACGCATTCCAGCGAGGAGCTGCCCCCGCGAGTTGTGATGTGAAGAATGGCTGTATGGCTTCCCTTAGGAGGAATGTCCTGGTGTGGTAGTGGGACGCCAGTTCTACAAATGGTACCGGTTTGTCTGCTTCTGGCCGCCTTCGCTTGAATGCTGTGCCATGCAGCGGCGGCAACTGCTAAAATGTATGCTCCTCACGGAGTCCATCGTGTTTCATGCTTTTGATGCCACAGCGCCCCTACAAGGCTGGTATGAGAACTGCATCTTGATGCACACAACATGAGAGGCACCGGGTTCGAGGACCATGTGTGCATGCACAACACCACAACGGCACCAGGCGTTTCCGTGCAAGCTGGCTTTCAAGTTACTGAATGCAAGAAATGCAACCGATCGACAGTTTCAGTGAGAAAGGTTCTACAGAAACGCCCACAAAAATACTAGTGATTGGTGCTGCACCCCACAAACTTGCTGCTTCTGCTGTTTATCCGCATGAGAGGAATGTCACCTATCCAGCGAGCGACACCGTGAGGTCGCACAACTAACGAGGAAGTTTCAACTTCAGGAAAGGGGTCATTGCCCCCGTTGTTCTGTTCAAGCCTGCTGACACAATCAAATAATCAAAATAAATTTGTTCATAAGCGCAGTTCCTGTGCCGCCCACACGTCGTCTGGCCTGTGAGACAAGGGCGCATCAGCAACCCTAAAACAATCCACCGCCCAAAGCTAACCACCACCTAGAACAACCTTGGGCTCAACTGTTTCATGGCCATGCACTGCACACTTGCGTGTGTGGCAACACCGTGTGCCCAGGCTCCCTATCTCTGCTGCGTGCCTATTGACCGAGGTGCTGGAAGGGATATGGACCTGTGACCCCTACTTCGCCTGGCTAGCCTGCCTCCCCCCCCACTCTTCAATCCCTCTGTCTTCACAAGCACAAAGCCACCATTGACGCTGCCCAAAGACGATCGGTCCAATCCATTTCTGCTGTTGCGCCCATTCGCATGGTGGTCGTCCAGCACTCGATCCTCTATGATTGGAGACTGCTGGCCTCCTACTGGAAATGTTGGCCTCTTGGTCACACGTCTGGGCTGAGTGAATTCCACTCCGTCCGACACTGTTCGCAATGGCGGTACTTGGGGGTGTTGAGTGGGCCCCACCTCTGCTCCGTCTGATATTGACCGCGTCAGACTGCTATCCACAATACCAGCGCCCGCACCCAAAGATAATGGGACATGCGCATCAACCTGTGGGGGCCTGGATGGAGATGCTTTCTTGAGCGGACCGGACTGCTGTTTTGAGCGACGCTTTGACACACCTTCCGTGCCCATTACAGGGGCCCTGTCTGGCACTTGCTCCAATGGTTTGACATAAGGCTTCTTTGAGCGACGCTCAGGGACAGCCTTTGTTTCCTCCACGGTGGCCCTTTCCTGCTCCTGCCTCGTAGAGCTGGATGTTGAAGGCGGATTGGGTATTTCCAGGTCCGGCTGGAACACTGTCTTGGGAACAGATTGCTGTCTCGGCTGACGTCTAGTGACAACCTCCTGCCTCTCTGCAGAGCTCTGAGCCCCACGCTGCCTTGTGGAACTTGATGTCGAGGGCGGGCTGTGGAGATTCAGGGACATCTCCCCAGCGCCCTCCCCTTCACTCTTCCCCGTCTCAGATGGCTCCCCGCCCTCTGTCCCTCGGCTTGCGCTGCGGGACCCCACTCCCCCCTCGTCCTTGCACAGCCCCACCATGGACAACTCCCCGGACGCCTCGTTGCTCTCCGTGCTGTGTATCAACTCCAGCTGCTCCTTCATGAGCCCATTGATCGCCATCACCACCATCCCCGCCGCTTTGAGCAGCTTGGGGTGGGCCAGCTTGGCATGGGCCTCCACCAATGGCGCAGACTCCGCCCTGCTGAGAAGGTCCCCCATCATCCACTCGTGCTGCTTGGCCTGCCTCACGTTCAGGCGCTGGGTGGGGTTCACCTGCAGCAGCTGGGACACCAGGTCCTTGGCGGCCGGCGTCACGCTGCTCCACACCGGGTCCGCGAAACTGTACAGGCCCTGCCTGATCTTGGAGTACATCACGGCCTCGTTGGCGTCGTAGAATGGCGGGAAGCCGGCCAACAGGATGTACAGGATCACGCCGGCGCTCCACATGTCCACCGACTTGTCGTATGTCTGCACGTCGCGGCGGAGCACCTCCGGCGCCACAAACTGGGGTGTGCCAGCCGCAGTGCTCATCTTGCTGACCGTGCGCTTGGCCAGGCCGAAGTCCACGATCTTGATGCGGTTGATGTTACCCTTCTCCACGAGGAGCAGGTTCTCCAGCTTGAGGTCGCGGTGCGCCACGTCGCGGTCGTGCAGGTAGCCCACGCCCTCCAGCAGCTGTGGCGGCAAACGGCACCCGGTTAGGGACAGCAACAAGCGCACGTGTATGTGTGAGTGTGTGTGAGTGGGTGGGGTGGGGTTATGGGTGTGGGGGGGTGAGGGGCGAGGAGGACGCCGGGCTACGTCCAAAGGACCCAGCAAGCGCCTGCAATCCACAAATGCTGCCCAACATTACCCCCCCCCCCCCCCTGCCCTCCCCTCCCCACCCGATTCTCCAGCTTCGCCATGCAAAAAACCGGCGATCGAACCGCGGTGGGCGCTGCCGCGGCCGGGCGGGCAACGATGACGGCAGGCCTGTGCGGGCATTCTCCCCCCGGCGTGGCCCCGCGCGGGGTCAGGAGCCAATCCCGCCCCGGGCCCCCGCCCACCTGCCGGAACACTATCCGCGCGTCGTCCTCCGTGTACCGGTGCTCCTTCCGCTCCAGCAGTGCGTCCAGCAGCATCCCGCCCTCCAGCAGCTCCGTCACAATGTACACCATCTCCTTGCCCACGTAGAACTCCCGCAGCGACAGCACGTTGGGGTGGTTGGTCTTGGACAGGATCTCGATCTCCCGGAACACCTCCGCGCGGCTCAGCTCGTTGGGGGGCGCGTCCGGGTCCGGCAGCCGCATCACCTTGCACGCGCACCGCTCGCCGCTACGCTTGTGAGTCACCTGGCGCACCGCTGCGAAGCCGCCTGTCCCCAGCAGGTCCCCCCACTTGTACACCTTGCGCAGGGCCACCCGCATCCTCTTCGGCGACAGCATCATCCTCGCCTCGACGCCCATCTGATCGAGGGGCACGTCGCGCAGCGTGGCCTCGACCCCCACGGCCATGTCCGCGCCGCGAACGCCGTTCCCCGCCACGGACGGCCCCTCTCCGCTCCCGGCATCCCCGGAAGCGGCCGCGAAGGGCCCCGCCCGAACTCCATTGCCGCCGGCGCCGCGCGGGCCCCCGCCCGCCTGAACGTCAGCCGATGCCCTGCCCCTGCCTCGCAGCCAAGCCAGCATCCGCTGGCCCAGCAGCCGGCGCCTGGAGCGTCGCCACAGGTGGAATCGCTTGCCCATGGCCGCACCGCCCGCCGCTCCAAGGCACCCGGCGGGGGTACGTGTGTAGGTTGGTGTGGGATGGCCTCTGCGCGGCCTGCACTGGCTTCAAACTCGCCCTCACTCTCGGCATAAGCCGCAACATTGGGCCCCGGAGGAGTGGGCGCCGATTTGGGTCCCTCTCATCGACTCGGGAGCGCGTGGGGTCCGCGGCGGTGTTGTCCGCGGCGCGGAGTGCTTGAGTCATGCCAGATGGGCCGTACGTCGACGGGGAGTCCGAAGTGCGAGAGCGATCCCGTGAGCTGCCCCCAAGGCCACGAAAGTGTGACCGCGCACGGCGTTTGATGTAAGGCCCACCTTCCTCCCAGAAAGGCTTGACGCGCTTGCCGACGCCGGCTACCCGCCGGCTACCCCCTTGGCCGACGCCGGCGCCAGACAGAACTACCTTCACGGTGGAGAAGGGGCTATTGACCTGCAAGGTTCAGGCGTTCGCAAAAGCCATGAGCAAAAAAAAAAGGTTAAAAGATGCACCTAACGTACCAAAGAAAGTAAGGGGCACTGGTCAAGATCGTACCTGCGGACCAACACAATGTGGGGCTAGAAGAAATGCAACAGCACGTAGGTGAGCGCGGATGCCAGACAGGACCACCGCCAAAAGAGCCAAATCTACGAATATTATCAAGACTTGCGGGACCGGCACCCCAAAGTAAACAGTACATTAACAAACCGAAGAAAAAGGGGGCGCCGAGCCACGATGGGGCACAGTAGAAGGGCCAGATCCCAAAAGCAAGCAAAGGGCCACACTGGCCACCATAGAAAAAGAGGCAGCGAAATCAATCAGTACAAGAAATCAACTTGATCCGCACCAAAAAAGTGGGGCCAAGTATCGTATGCCGGGTTAGCACCACAGCTCTCGACTGTAAACGGTGCTCGCCAGTGGCCAGCTGCCAAGGCTCTCACTTGGAGTGGCAACCCATTTTCCTGCGCCCCGCGCCCCGCTCGCCCGCTCTCTTCCCCATCATGTTTGTGGGATCGCTGTGGGTGGTGGTGGCATTGGTTTGCGTCCTTCTCGCTACCGCGTTGGGCACCCCTCGTCCTGGGCGCCGCCGCGGGCGTGGCCGTGGGAGGCGCCGGGGCTCCGCCCCCCCCTCATCCCGGCCCAGCTCCCTCTTTGCGGCCCGCGGCTGCTGGATGGCACCATCGTCTTATGAGGACCCCGCTGACGACGCCCCTTCTGCCTCGTTGATTGGCCCTTCCGGGCCCTTCCTCGGGACGCCCCGGCTTCACTGATACGAAAAGCCTGTGAGTGTGGGGTTCCTGCCCTCTTTGAGCCGCGGACCCACCTCGCCGGGCACCTAGGTCCTTACAGGGCACCTAGGCGGGACCACCCCTCCTACTCCCATATCCATATAAGTATAATGGTTACCGTGGGACAAGGAATACAATACGATCTTGGGCAGGGCATCCCCCACACCAAGGACCATTAGCAGGGCGTCCCCCACATCAGGCCGGTGCGCGTAACATTCGTCCCCCTCAGGGAGTGGGGCGTCCTCGTCCCAATATATGGATATGGGAGCAGAAACTTTATGTGTATGTGAATAGAACTGGCTGTGCGATTTGCCACATGCCCAGTTGGTATACACTACACAGTTAGTGGTGAAGAGAAAGAGTGGTTGTTTTTACATGACCTCCCGGTCTTCACAACCCTCATTAAAACTCTTCCTCAACCAAATGGCTGGAATGTTCGACCTCCCGGCCTATGATCTACGACCCCTAGAGTGGGAACCACCAAACGCCCATGCAGGGGTGCGCCGGCCCGGTGCGGGACCTCGTCCTCGCCCGTGGCCACGCACACGCATAGCTCCACGAGGTGCCGGCACGAGCGGGTCAAGATCCAATCTTTCTCTATTCAAGATCGCAATGGACATAGCGTTCATGTGTCCAAATTGCGTCTTGGCACGGGGGGCGGTGTACCCAGTATTCTTCTGGGCCCATCTCAGGAGAACCTGTCAAAGCATAGTCACACATGAGCATGTCTCAGTATGTACATCCCGTATTTTATGCAGTTTGCATTCGCATCACAAGTGTTCTGCCATTTTCAAATACTTGAACCAGTTCCTGTGCATTTGCAACTGACTTTGCTGATTCCCAGCTATTATGCTCATGTCCATACTCCAGCCATTTGACAAGGTACTCAACATAGTTTTTGCGTCTCCCACGCTTTTTAATTCTTTTATCAAGGATACGTTCAACTTTATACTCCAGTTCACCTTTGATCTCGATAGGTACTGGGGGTGGCTGTACTCTGCCACTTGCCTTATAAGGCTTGATTTTCGACACATGAAATACTGGATGTATCCTACGCATGCTTTCCGGGAGTTCTAGTCGATATGCGACAGAACCTATCCGGTCGAGGATGGTGAAGGGCCCAATCCACCTCGGTAATAATTTTCGAGTTCCAGGGTGCTTGAGGGTGATATGTTGTGTCGAAAAGAGGACGTCATCTCCTTTATTAAACGACACATCCCTCTGATGGCGGTCAGCATGCTTCGACTGCCTATCCCGTGCTTTTTCCAAGCACGCCCTGGCCTCTCTCAGCGCTGATTGGACACGGTGATCAAATCGTGTCACTGCTGGTAATCCCTCCACGAGGGGTATACCGGACTGCCTCAAATAAGGCTGCTGTGCCCTATCAATGGCCACTGCCAAGCCACGGGCATTCGGATTGTCATAGCCCTTCAAAGGCTTCCGAATCTGCACCCCAAGAGCTAAGGGACTCTTTGGGTGCCTCCCGTAATTCAGATAGAACGGGGTCTCTTGGGTGGAACTGTTTTTCGAGTTGTTCATAGCAAACTCGGCCATGGCTAACAGTTCATCCCATGCGTCATGGTCAGAATGCGTATAGCTTGCGTAAGTAATCCTCCAGAATCCGATTCATGACTTCGGTCTGGCCATCCGTCTGTGGATGGTACGCAGTGCTCATGTTGAGCTGAATCTTCCACCTCTCGGCCAGGTACCGGTAAAACCTGGAAGTGAACCGAACGTCTCTGTCGGACACTATCTGAGAGGGGAGGCCGTGGTGCCTTATCACATTCTGCACCAGCAGGTCAGCTACTCCTTCTGCGGAGAGCTCGGTGGTCATGGCTGCAAGGCGGACCATTTTGGTCAGTCTATCAACGAATACGACGATAGCATCATGACCTCCCTTAGTTTTTGGCAGTTGAGTGATGAAGTCCATGGACAATTCGGTCCATGGCTCCCCAGGAATACCCAATGGCTGTAATAAGCCTGGGGTCTTTTGACGAGGATACTTAACCTGTTGACAAACCAGGCAAGTATCGATGTACGACTGTACTTCTCGTCGCATTCCTGGCCACCAGTAATGCCGCTGGACCAAGTCCAGGGTCTTGGCTTGACCAAAGTGTCCCGCACTTGGATGGTCGTGAGCCAACTGGCAGATCTCAGTCCGCAGACTGGCAGGTATATATACCTGATTGCCTCGCAGCCATAACCCGTCTGTACAGCGCATCTCTTGCTGCTGTCTTACAGACGTAAGCTGGGGATCTTTGCCATAGGCCTGACGGATCCTGGAGGCTAGATCTTTGGCCTCTACCATCTCTCCTGCCTCTCTTTGGCTTCCCCGCTTATGCACTACCCTTAAGCCACATACAACCAGTTGACTTTTCCTCCTAGCCACCTGCTCATCCGGCGATGGAGGAATGCGAGAGAGTGGATCAGCCACATTCTTTCGTCCTGGGCGATATTCCCAGTCAAAGTCAAACTGTTGTAAGATTTCTGACCACCTGGCCTGTCTCTGGCTCAGCTGTGGTTGTGACTTAAGGTAGGTCAACGGACAGTGGTCCGTTACCAGTTTGAAGCGTGTTCCTTCAAGGTAACACCTCCACAACTGGACAGCGTGGACTGAGGCTAAAGCCTCCTGGTCCGTCACGCTGTAGTTCAACTCTGCTGGGAGGAACTTCCTGCTCGCATAACAAACAGGGTGATTGTCCTGCATTAGGACCGCCCCTACAGCAGTTTGCGAGGCATCTGCGATGACCTCGAATGGTCTTTCAGGATCTGGCATCTTGAGCAAAGGAGCGGTGGTCAAACACTCCTTTATGTGCTCAAACGTTGATTGACACTTCGACGTCCACTCCCACTTGCCATTCTGTTTGGTCAAGTCTGTCAAGGGAGTTGCCATTTTCGAATAGCCTTGAATGAACTTTCGAAAATAGTTAGCCAGTCCGAGGAACTGCTGTACGTGCTTCACGCACTGAGGTACAGGCCAGTTCTTCACCTTCTCGATCCCTTCGGGATCTGGGCGTATTCCTTCTTGAGACACTATATGTCCCAGGTAGGAGATTTCCTCCTTATTGAACTGGCACTTGTGCATTCGACAGTATAGCTTTTGCTGTCGCAGCACTTCTAACACCTGTCTTAGGTGTCGTATATGCTCTTCAGCAGTTTGGCTAAACACCAGGATGTCGTCCAAGTAAACTAGGATGTGTTTGCCGATTTGGTCACCAAATATATGGTGCATTGTCTGCTGAAATATCGCAGGGGCGTTCGCAAGTCCAAAGGGAAGTACCTTTAACTCGTACAAGCCCAATGGCGTGACAAACGCCGTTTTGGCACAATCGGCCTTGTCGATCTGCAGTTGGTAGTACCCTTGTTGCAAGTCTATGGCCGAAAAGACTTTGGCCCCTTGCAACTGATCCAACAGGGTATCTATCCTTGGGATCGGCCACTTGTTCTTGATAGTGGCTTTGTTCAATGCCCGATAGTCAATACACATTCGGAGGCTGCCATCTGGTTTTGGTACAAAAAGCACGGGGGCCCCGAATGGGCTACTGCTCTCCGTGATCAGACCTTTTCGCAACAGGTATTCTACCTGGGTTCCGATCTCCTCCATTTCTTTTGGGCTGTACCGAAAAGCAGGTCGCTTAACCGGTTTGGTCCCTTCCTCTAGTGGAATGGTCAGCGTTACGCCCCTATCCGGGGGTAGTCCCTCAGGGAGTTCA